TTGTTTTTGGTTCTTTTAATTCAACCTTCAATTGTGCTTGAATACGATCAGATCTTCAACATCTATGATTAATTATACTCTCAGCGTTATTAGATCAACATCATCGATAATCCACAAAAATTCAATTCATATCATTCATTCAACATCGATTATCAAATAAAACTTGAAAATTGAGGTTAGAAAAATATCAAATCGTTTTTTTTTTTTTGAAAAATTTCATATAATTCTCTATCAATATACTCTTTTGTAGATCTAAATAGTCAAAATATCATGTTTCTAACATTTTTAAAAAAAATTAAATTGTATGCACTCCAACTGTTTGATGAAATGCATGAACTAAATTAGCACGTTATATTCATATATGAATATGTTTTTTCGGTATATGATTATTAAAACAAAAAACCAAATATGCAAGTCTGTATGTTATTCATATGTGAATAACATATAAAAATTATATACATTTGTTAAAATACCTTGTAATATTCATATGTGAATATACTGTGTAATATTCATATGTGAATATACTGTGTAATATTCATATGTGAATATACTGTGTAATATTCATATGTGAATATACTGTGTAATATTCATAAGTGAATATATCATCTAATATTCACAAATGAATATACTATGTAACATTTACATGTGATATACCATGTAATATTATGTAATATTCAGATATGAAAATATTTTCTAATATTCATAAGTGAATATACCATCTAATATTCACAAGTGAATATACTATGTAATATTCATAAGTGAATGCATCGTCTAATATTTAAATATGAATATACTATGTTTATTATATGCTATATTCATATATGAATGATACTTAAACTGTAAAAATAAATAAATAAATAAATAAAATAAAATAAAATAAAAATAAAAATAATCATAGTTTTTATTCATAACTGAATAACGAATGTACTGTAGTAAAAATCTGATTCATTTTTATTCACTTATGAATAACGATAGCTGAAAATATAAAAAAAAAAATTATTTTATCTTAAAACTATATCAATATGGATGTCTATTTGTAGAGAATAAAAAATCATGAATTTTGGTATATTTAAAATCATTTTTCGATAAAAATAGCTTCTTAAAAATTAAAAAAATCGAAAAAACTATGTTTTTGTATAGGTTAAGATAATGATTAGCATAGTTTAAGGAAACATGTTTTGTTCGAAATCACATGTCTATTATTTTCCCATTTCTGCTGGTACGACGGAGGCTTTTGCGACAAAAATAAATGAGTGGCTGAGAATGATTCTCCCATTCTCAACCTTTTTTTTCTCAATTAAACCCTCCTCTCTCTCTCTCTCTCTATATATATATATATATATATATATATATATATATATATATATATATATCAGAAGTAAGTTCATGCGAAAATATAAATATTCTGCGAAAACAACTTTTATCTTATGAAAATTAGATACATGTACTATAAAAAAATAATTTTATTAGCAATAAATTAAAGATAGTAAGTTTACATTAGATGGTGTTATGATGATATAGATTTAAAGACGGTTTTTATAATTATATTTTTTTTCACGTCCTTAATCATTTTTAAATTCATGTTTTCATAATAAAAATGTTAAAAATCATACTTTGCTAATATGAAATAGTCTATCATCTATCATCGATTATCATCATGTATTTCAAAGTTTGGATGAATTATTTTCCAAAATATAATGTTGAGGTGACATAATATCATATGGTTTTCTTGTTTACGTGTTTTCGCAAATTATTTGCATTTTCGCATGAACCCTCCCCTATATATTATTACTATATATAAAAACCTTATTTTTCTCTTTCCTCCAAACTAAATTTCAGCCGCTTAATTTGACGCCACGTAGCCTCCCTTTTAAACGACGCCATGAATATTGACATCGCCTCATAACAATTCACTACCATTGTGTCGTATCTGCGTACTGCGCACGAGATGGGTTTAAAGAAAGAACATACGACGTCAAGTTGAAGACCAAGTAATTGAATCGTCTTCCAACGCTTCGTAATTGTCAAGTGTCGGTCCAAAACTACAATCATCCTAACGAATTTTTTTCTCCCATCTATAAATATGGATCCTCTCCCCTGACATCTTCATCTTTTCCTCAATTTCTGAGGTTAGGCTATTGATATAATGCAACCAGTATGGATTGTTTTCTCTATTGATCCTCGTTTGATATTTTCATTTTTTCTTCTTTATTTTTGAAATTAGGGATTTTGATACACATTTGTTTTTATTCTCATGGTATTTCGTACGTGTAGGTTTAGATTTTCTTTTCTCGTGGTTTATTTTTGTCATTCAGTGAAAGATTTAACAGGTTACTCCCAATTGAACGGTTTGCTTATGATACGGTTACTTTTCTGATGCCTTTTTCTTCACAGGTTACGCAAACAAGTAGGATCTGCATACAATTTTTTTTTCTTAGTTCCTTTTTTTTATCAACTTTCCGGGTCAAACACACCATTGTATCCTTAAAGTGAGTAATTGAGAATCTGTATAATTGTTATTGTATTTAGTAGTTTTCCTAACATGGTTTTCCTTTCTTTCACCATTTTTCTAAGGTATGCTTCATATAGTTTCATCACAGAGTGAGAAAGAAGAAACTTGAATAAAAAATCATCCAACTGCAAAAGAAGCTTGATGTTAATCAACATTTAGAACTAAAACCCAACCAAATGAAAGTGGAAATGGAAGTGATGAAGCATATGACACATGAGGATGTTGAAGCAAAGAAGAAGTTTGAGTCCTTTGAATAAGTTCTGAAAGAAAAAGAAGAGGAACTTGAGAGTTTGGAAGAGCTTAGTCAACCCTTGGTTTCCAAAGAACAGTTAAGCAATGATGGATTACAACATGCACCCAAAGAATTAATTTTTTTAAGCTTCTTTCCTTCAGAATGCTATTATTTGATAGTAAAAATTACATATTTGGTCCTTGTTTGAACAAGGTATGAAAGTTAATCATGTGTGTGTATTGGTGTAAATTGAATGGGTGAGCTTGATGAAAAGCTTTTCATTGTTGCTGTCAAAAGATGTTATTTAAGTCAAAAGAATGCAATCAACTTTGGATTGATTGTCATCGGATCTTTTCAGGGATCAAAACTAGCATCATTTCAAGGTCGTCACCATTGGAGGTGAATTCAATGTATGATCTTTATTGTCATATATCATCATTAACTTTTCATATTATGTTTTTACCTTTTTTCATCTTTTCCGGAAATGAAATGCTAATTAAAGAAGATAAGAAGATTGCAAGGCTGAAGGTTGAATGTGTGTATAATCAGGTCGTTTCCACTCTAAAAGAGATGAATCAGTACAATCTGATACGACCCCCTGTGTAGCTTGTGGGTTGTTTTGGCCAGGCATATCAAAGATGTTCCAGCTTGACAGCCAAGTATTTAGGAATTATCCATTTTTATTGTTTGATTTTATTTTAGGTAAGTTTTTGTTTTAATCACGAAAGTTTCCTTTAATGCATAATAAGTATTAGTCTTGGTTTAGGATATTCTGTTAGTAGCAGGATACTATAAAATGTGCTCCATAGCTTGTTTTGTTTTTCACGTTTAAATCAATAAAGTCAGAGAGTTGTTAGGAGTTTAACCTCTACTCGAAACAGGAGGGCACAAATTTCTTGTTCATTCTTGTGGGTGAATCATAAATCATATTACAATCCAAGTGGCATATATATCCATTGTCAGATCTTTGGACCAAAAAGGTGATCAGAAGGCAGCATTGAAAGAAGGTGTTGAATTTATTTTGAAGTAATGGAAATTAATACAAATAGAATAAACAAGGTTCAAGAGGATTGAGGCTGGAAAACATTGACTACAGGTTAGTTCCGCCTATTAACCACCTAAAATAATGGGTTTATAAATATTTTGTAGCTTCATTTTGACTTTTATTTTACTGTTAATATGAACTTTGTCTAAAATAACTGGAGGTGATCAATTTTTTAATTATTTTTAATCGTTTAACATGAGAGATTCCTATTTGAACAAAAAAAGTTTATCATACACATACATGTTACTCTCGCAATTATATTGGCTACATAATTTTTGTTCAATTTTAATCAAATAACTTAACATATCCCTGTTTCAAGTAATATGACTATACCTTTTAGGCCATAAGATAATTTTCTAGAAAGTATTTCAAATATGTCACATTTGAGGCACTCACGGATAGTTCTTTTACAAAGATACTATATACAGCACGGTCAAACTTTTTATTTTTTTACTATTGACTTCCTATGAAAAAGACATGGTATAATCGGTTATTCTCATAATGTTAAACAACTAGACGAAGAAAGGATCAATAATGGTATAATCGGCTATATATATATATATATATATATATATATATATATATATATATATATATATATATATATATATATATATATATATTTGGACAACTTTTAAAAAATGACCAAGTGACTTATATGGTATTTTAGTTCCTTAAATTTAGGCTTTTTGTTTTTTAATTACTTTGTGAAGCTTTTAGCTGAATTAAAAGGTCTGTAAAGCAAATGACATTGTTAGGAGTTGTTTGCATTTGCTTACCCTAGATATTAGACACTTCATGATGCTAATACATTTTAGTAAGAGTTAAGATTTTTACATTTTAGCTCTTACATGTTAGAACAATACAATGGTTGCAGCAAATATTAGTGGATTTTACTGTTTTTATCAATATTCACATTGTACTTTCATTTTTATCAGTAAAAACAATGCATTTCATTTCCTCGCTCATAATAGCATTGTATTTTGATTTTTTAATCGACTATACTTACACAACATCAAAACAACTACCCAACTTACCTTGTCATGCTTAGCACGGGCTTAAAACTTTACTTTTCTAGTATGTATATATATATATATATATATATATATATATATATATATATATATATATATATATGTTACAATAAACCGTCCGGAATTCGATATACGAAGAAAATAGGTTAATCATATACTGTCGCCTTTTTCTCAACAATGCCTTCCTCCGCCGTCAGCCCTACTACATGTGAATGGAAAAGAAGGATTTTAGGAAAAATTATCTCTGCTGTTCTCCTCCTCTTCTTCGTGTTTACTGCACCATCCACTGCGGATATCATATCTGCGAAAATCCGATCTCATAACCGAGATATGATTGTATTCTCGGAGTTCGAATATTCACATACCGGTTACGTTTCTGTGGCGCTCTCCTCCGTCGCGATCTCCTCCATTCCGGTGACATCAAACGTATCACAACTTGATCCTTCGCGTATCGGTTTCTTGCTTCTATCCGATGAATTTTTATACCGCTACTACCAGGAATTCAAACAAAACCCTGATATGTGCCCCTTAGATATCAAAAACATCTCAGTCCTGTTCACATTCCAAGATCTCTCCCCTCCTCTTCAGTCGTCCTTTAACAAATCGTACCATGTCACATATCCCGGTACGTACTCTCTCTTTTTAGCCAATTGCAACGACCAATCCCTCCTCACCATGGATGTCCGCACAGAGCTCTACAGCACCGATGATGAGGGGACTACCACTACCAAAGACTATTTATCAGCTGGGCAACCGCAGCCGTCTTTTTTCTTCAGATTGTTCCTTATTTATCTGTGTTTTCTAGTGTTTTGGATCTCTATATCCTTAAAGAAGCATCGATATTTTCAGAGGATCCATATACTTATGGGTGTGCTGCTTGTTATAACTCTTGTTCACCATTTATGTGCGATGGCGGATCAACAAGACCTGAAGGTTACGGGGAGTCATCATGGATGGCATACGTTGTTATACATATTTCAGTTTATGAGGAATGTGCTTTTGTTCACCGTAATCGTGTTGCTCAATGTAGAATGGTGTTTAAGGAAGCCGTTTTTGGTAGAGGGAGAAATATTCATCTTGACGATCGTGATCCTACTTGAGGTTTGGGCTAATGTAAGCTCTGTAGCGGCTGTGGAATCCGGTCCGCTTAATTATCAAGAGTTGCAGTATTTGATAGATAAGTTTTCGCTTATAGATTTCAGCTGTTGCCTGGTTGTTGGTTTCCATTGTTTTAACTTGGCTGATCAGGCTACGGATTCATCAAAGGGGACTTCTGCTACTGCTAGGCCGCCGAATATGTTCCATGCCTGGGTAGTAGTATACATTATATATTCGAGGGGAATGAATTTCCCGCTAAAGGTTACTGCTGCAAGAGAAGCCGGCGATCTTGTGTTCTATATGGTGATGTTTTACATGCACAAACCAATTCTTCTTCAGGAACAGAATTTAAACTGTCTAGGGTAGGGAAGTTAATTCATCTTCAAGTGGTTTTTCGTGGAACAGTTAGATGTTTTTAGTCTCTTTAATTTTGAGTTTTAAGCTTCTTCTGTTCATAACATATGAACATATTCTAGGTACCTAGGTTCATGGATATTTTGAGTTTTAGGCTTGTTCTTTTCATAATATACAAGGTAGCTAGGTTCATGGTTGTTTTTCGAATAGCTGTTGATTTCATAAGCTTATATAAAATGTATATAATTTATGATTATTCTAAATAATTGTATTATCAACATCGTAATAAATATATCTCTAAATATTATTAAAAAATAGAGTAAATTTGTCCCTATTCAAATGCTAAATTGTGCGTTCAGTCCTTATTGTAAAAAAAAATTTAACTCGGACTATCCTTCATCTGGTTAAAAGTTGTACGTTTCATTCCTCGTTGGTTTAAATATACACGCTTAATCATTTGCGAGAAATAAAATGACTATAATGCCCTTTGCAATTTTATTTTCCATTTATTTTTATCATTTCTGCTTATTTTTAATTATTAAAAATATTTTAAATAAAATTATAGGTCTCTCTCTCTCTCTCTCTCTCACTCACACACACACACACACACATTAAAGAACACTTAACCACCACCAAGATCACCGAAATCTAAGCCGCTACCGGAAAATCTACCTTTACCTCACTCTACTCCACTCCCTGGTTCAAAGCTCAAGACTACCACACCCTCCTTCCATCGAGGCACCCGTTCACCTCCTCCTTAAGCTAGGGATGTCAAAAAGTCTCGTGGGACCCCGTTCCCGTGGGGTCCCCGTCCCGTTTGGGGGGAATTTTAAAAAAAAATCGGGGGTAGGGACGGGGGCGGGGCCAAGGTTAACCCCCGTTTTAATTTCGGGGGCGGGGGCGGGGGCGGGAGCGGGGATAGGCAATCCCGTCCCGAAACCTCCATGGGGACCCCGTTAATAAATTACACATATATTTACATATATTAGTTATATAAATATAATAAACTATAACATGATTTTGAGCTTCCAAAATTTATCAAAAAAACATGTCTTTAAATTGTTAGTATAATGTTTTTAAGATGTCATAACTTTTTTATTTTTAATATGTAAAATTCTACTATAAATAAATATTTGTTACCTAAAATAGTTTCTTTAAGCGTAAATAACTACTTTTTTTAGCAAAAAAAAAGGCAGCCCAAAATCAATCGGGGGCGGGGGTGGGGGTAATAAAGGGGATTCGGGGCGGGGGCAGGGGTAGGAAGGCTGAACATTTCGGGGGTGGGGGCGGGGACGGGGGAACAAGGAAATTTTGGGGATGGGGGCGGGGGATGCACTCCCCGTCCCGTTTGCCCCCGTTGATATCCCTACCTTAAGCCACATGTTTCCCGGAAAAGAATCACAAACCACCACCTCCTTCACCATCGCCACCCTCTTGTACAAGCACCAACCAAAAACTAATCGTGAACCTCCATTAACCACCTAACCAGCAACATCACCTCCAACAGCCTTCACCGGAAAACCCACATGTGACCACTTCAAGCACCACCTCAGAATCTCGACCCACCACAATGACCACCAAAATACAACCTTCATATGCCACCACCCTCTAAGGTGATGTTCCATACCTTACAGGTATATCTATAACAGATGAATGATACCATTTTCCAACCACTGTAACTATCTGATGTGATCACAATCTCTGGTGAGAGAGTTGTAGACGATTTTCGGATATGGAGGATCGTCATCATCACAGCCTCCAGTGGAACCACCAATGTCGCCTCATCACCACAATCTCCAGTGGAACCACCAACTCTGCAATCACCATCACCATAGTCCCCTGTTCGACAATTTATTACACCATAACTTGTAATTCATTGTCTCTCTTCACTTCACTGAGATAAATACAGCCCAAATTAAGAGAGGTGGTTCTCTAATCTTGATCTGTAGTGAACTAGAATCGGGAAAGAGGGGGTTGGGTTTAAGTTCAGGTGGTCTGCTTCGAAATGTAGAGCAATCATGGACATGGCTTCAACTCCCAAACGAGAAGCAAACTCGAAGATGACCATAAATTCGAAATGTGCCGCCATCGTCAAACCATCTAGTGTTCGCCATCAACTGAATCATCGTCGCCCGTACCTCTTTGTACCTCATATTCTCACATTTCAAACGGAGACGCAGGTGGATCTAGGGTTTTAAATGGTGATGGAGGCGAATGGGAAAGAGGGAAACAAATGGATCGAAGGAAAGCAGGAAAGGGGTTAGGGTGTTCTTGGGTACAGATATTTTTTTTCTTTTTTTTTTAATCTAAAAAATATAAATTAATAAAAGAAAAATTAAAAAAGAAATTATTAAGGGCAAAATTGTCATCTTAGGTCTATAGGGACGACCTAAGTGAAAAAAAAGATAATATAGGGAAGGTCCGAGTTAATTTTTAAAAATAAAGACTATATGCGCAATTTAACATTTGGACCAAGGACGAATCGTGTAACATTTGAAAAATACAATCTAGGCCATTAATTGTATTTCAATCCTATGTGTTCTACCCTTAGATCAAACTGCGAATATCATCTTCCCCAAATTGAATATATTTAATTCCAATAAAAGTTTTCTAATTGTCAAACAAAATTAACTTACATCCATAGAAATGGAATGTATATAATTCCAATAAAATCTTCTCATATTTTAAATCTTGAATTTCCGGTTACAAAGCTTTTAATATGGTCAGCTTTAAAAACATACTAGTAACAAACCATTTCAATTAAGACATTAATATCAACCATTAATATAAATATGTTTTTATTCGTAAACCATTAATATAAATTTATTTTTATTAGTAACTATTAAATACCAAAAAATCATATTCAAATTAGTACATACATATACGATTCATCATTGAATTCATGGTTCACACTTATTTTCAATCGTTGTTTTTCTTCAAATATTCTTCTACAACATAATTCTTATTGTTTATAATTTTCATCATCATTCTCTGCTTCAAACCTTTGCTGTTGTGCAGTAGAAGGTAAGTACATTATTTCGCTTTTTATGTTTTTTTTAGATTTTTTTTTTGTTCTTATATTAAATATATGTATTCATATATTTTGATTTTCTTTGTCACAAATTATATGAAATCGGTTAACTACTTTTCTGAAACTTTTCAAATAAACAGGAAAAGATATTACGTACCTTTAACGCAACAGAAATTAACTATCTTTGGAATTGACACTAATTAGGAAAATGTCATTTTTATATATTAGAGATGATTATGATTTTTTTAAATTATTATGTCATGGAAATCCGATTAATTTTGATATGATTTTAAAATATTTTGGTATGATCCTATCATACTTTTAGGTTGATTTAATAGGAAATAATATATAATCTATTTATGCATCTTTTGAAATTAAGTATGGAAACAATTTTGTTGACAGCTATAATAGCTTTCACACCTTTTTATGAATCATACCTCTTTACAGATAAATGCATTGTATACGTCCCTTTTATTTCATATAAAAGTTCTTTCTAATTCTAATTGTTTTCCCTTTTATTTTACACCCATGGCACAAAACAGTCGCGATGAGATCGTCTTTGATAAGGTTGCTGACATCGATGCATCCAAGGAAACCTGAAACATTCGTGTTCAAGTACTCTTGATTTGGAAGCAAACTTAAAAAACAACTCAAACATGTTCAGTAGCTTGGACATGATTTTAATTGACGAGTAGGTATAATTTTATCTTTTTATTATTATGTTGCTTTTAATTTATAAAATTTAAAACTTAATCAAATTCTTTTCAATTACATGACACTAAAATACAAGCAACAATAAAAAAAAATTCATTAGTTCGTTTAAAGCTCTCTTTGTTGAAGAATCTATAAGGGAAATTAGTAGTTTTGGTATGACCGAAATGAAGGAGATTACATGAAGGTTGATCATAAGCATTAGAATAATTTCTACAAAACAACCAAAGTTCGTGTATCAAATGATTTTGCTGTTATGGTGGATCCTTATAATTTTGTGACTTTTCAGGATTTAATAGCCAAGAATCTTGACACTCGTGTTGCATTTGGTAAGATTTTATTTTAACATTCTACCTTATATACACACAAATATCTATTATATTACACATCTATAATACAACAATCGTTTATTTTTATTTTTGTTCTATATTTTCATGGGTAGGTTATGTCGACTAATCCCTGAAAGTGATATTGAAAATTCAAGGGAGATACGGTTGATGAACTTTGTTGATCAGGATCTAAGTTAAGTATATGTGTTTAAAACATTTTATTTTCTAAAGTATTTACACCTTTCATTATATTTTAGTTTTATATTTTTTGCTTTTTTACTAATTAATTATTTCTATTAAATAATTAATGGCATTTCATGTATGAAGTACAAATCTTATAACAATTATATAATATTTTCAATAATTTTGTTTATTTTCTAACTATAACATAACACTTTTTTTCGATGTATATAAATAAAGATCTGATTAATTGTATTTAAATGAGGGGGTCTTATATAACATTGAAGATAGATGAAAATAAATTAGTTAAATTTATATATAAAAACCAAACAAACTATTAAAAGAAGTTAACCATCTCTATTAAAAGAAGTTAACCATTAGAGATGCTCTTAGTATAAGAATGGTCTATAATTCATTTATATTTTGTAGTATAGCAATAAATAAATGAATCCACATAATATGTTATTCACATAAGCCATAAATTACATATGAACATAAAGTATTTATTCCTATATTCATTGGAAAGATTCTAATGAGTTATTTTTTTATTTAATGAGCTTTATTGGTTAAGCATTTAATATGGACAACAAATATGGTTGTTTTTTTTTTACTTGATCCGGACATAATGATTTAGGGCATGTTTGATACGGAGTGTTTCGGAGCGTCTGAGAGCTTGTAGTTTCTAGTGTTTGACAAAATGTTCCGTTATGAACAAAAAGTTTTGTTTTACACTACAAGCTTCTAGCGTTTAGTTTAAACAA